CTTACATCCCGCTAATGCCCAAGCCCGGGCTCACACCCCGCTCAAGCCCACATCCATGCCCAGGCTCACACCCACGCTTACGCCTAAGCCATGCTCAGGCTCACACCCCACTCACATCCACATCCACGCTCAGGCTCACACCCCTCTCACACCCAAGCCATGCTCAGGCTCACACCCCGCTCACGCCCAAGCCATGCTCAGGCTCACATCCCGCTAATGCCCAAGCCCGGGCTCACACCCTGCTCACACCCACTTTCATGCTCAGGTTGACACCCCGCTCACGCCCACATCCACACCCAGGCTCACACCCCAATCATGCCCACATCCACGCTGAGGCTCACACCCCGCTCACGCCCACATCCACGCTCAGGCTCACACCCCACTCCCGCCCACATCCACGCCCAGGCTCACACCCACGCTTATGCCTAAGCCATGCTCAGGCTCACAACCCGCTCACGCCCACATCCATGCTCAGGCTCACACCCCACTCACGCCCACATCCACACTCGCACTCCCCCATTATGCGCTGCCTGCTCAGTGTCTTATCTGCTTGCAGGAGACTCACAGCCAGGTTCCGGATCGAGGGCCCGGCCAACGTCCGCAGGTGCTTCAGCAGGGCTCTGCAGGTCTCTGTCTTCTCGGTCGGTTGCTTAGAAACAATGGACTGCAGTGTGTCGCTCAGCTGGGCCAGGCTGTGTCCTGCACCCACGGTCACCCCTGAAAATGAGAGACCAGGAGAAGCTGGCAGGACACCCTCAGGATAAGGCTGCAGGGACAGTCTTACACACTTATCTGCTTGTCCCTGAGAGCCAAGAGTCCAGCTAGCCCTGGTCATGTGTCCGGGCTTCGGCAGAGAGCAGCAGATGCCTGTTCAGCTGGGCAGTCTTGAGGCCCACATCAGACTTTGGCATCCGACCTTCAAAGCTAATCCTAGCCTGCATGGGAGCTGACCACGAGGGCAGCACTTCCGCCTGCCCGACAGTGATGAGGCTCCTCATCAGAAGATGCCAGGGCACTGCCTGGCTGGTCCGGGGCTCTGTTTGCAGGGGAACTTGTGGGGGATAGCGCAGCTCCCACAGAGTGGAGAAGGCAAACTCTGTGCAAAGCATCAGTGTACATGTGTATACAGGAAGATGCACCAGCACACACATGAGCAAAAAGAGGTGCATGAACAAGTGCACTGGCACATGCACGTGTGCACAAGGAGAGGTACACCTCATCTGTGGTGCTAAGCTCCCTGCAGAGCTGACTGGGCACAGCCCTGCTCCCCCTGGGGGCTGAAGGAGACAGGCTGAGGACCTCTGCTCTGGCTGTGTGTGCCCCGCCTCCCGCCCTGCACCCCCGCCTCCTGCCCCTGGACCTCCAGCCCGTCCTCTGCTCCCGCTCTTCCTGCGAACCCACCGGTACAGATCCCAGAAAGCAGAAAATGAGTGCTCAGGCTGAGTGGACGGGCTAGCCAGAGGGACCCGGGGTCACTCCCACACAGAGTTTCTGTCTGCTCGTTGGGGAGAACCCTCAAGTGTGACCTCTTGGAGCGTGCTACATGCCACCTTTGGGTGTGGGTGGTGGGACGTGCTTTCAGATTGCCCAGGGTAGTAGCCACAAGCTAGCTGTGCAGGCTGGGGATGTCCTTCCTGACCTTTGATCAGTGTCCCATGCAGGACCATAGAGCGGCCCTGCCTGCGACTTGGCCCTGCCAGGATGGTGGTAAGGACCACGACACAGGAACTGTGAGCGCCCAGGGGAGGACGCAGTGCAGGAGTCAGTGGGGCTGCGTCCAGTTTTCTTGCTGATCTCATGCCCTGTGTGTGTGAGTGTGTTCCTGTGTGCATGTGTATGTGTGTTGCACAAGGATGGGTGTGGGAAGAAGCTTCACGGAGCTAGATGAGGAAGGAGCCCAGTCTAACTTGCGACAGAAGTGCTGCCTCCCTTGCTCACACCAGGTGGGGCCCGTGCCCCACAGTGCTCAGTGAGGGCGGAGCCCAGAGGACACTGCAGAGCACTCTGCAGAGGCTTGGGAGGCCAGGGCCCTGGGGAGCCTCGCAAGCTTGGTGCTGTCAGAGTACAACAGTGGGGGAAGAGGCACTCACCGTCATCCTCGGAATTCAGCAAGTAGAGCTCCGAAACCCCAAGTGCGCAGATGAAAACTGGGTGGAAGTCGCCTTTAAATTTAATGTTGGGTCCTTGAAGCAAGAGCATTTGCATTAGAACAGGAAGTGGGCAACGGGGATGCTGACACTGTCCCTCAGGGGCTAAGCAGAGAGACAGCGTGATGGCAAAACAGAACCACAAGGCACTTTAGGAGCTGAGCTCCTCCTTGCTAGTAGTGGACGGCTCTGGTGACGCGTGCAGGCCCCTGGGAGCCGGAGCCACCTACCCACGGTTGTGTTCCCCATGATGAGTGGGGCATGGGGGAAGGCAGCTCTCAGCTCCAGGAGGTCCGGCAAGGTCACAGGGGCGAGCCAGGTGGTCCTCGCCCCCTGGAACGTCAGCCTCCGCTTGTTGGGGTCTTCGGCCATCCTCTGGGGAGAAGCAAGCAGTGTGCAGCGAGTGCTGCCACCCAGCCGGAGACACTCACAGTGGCCCAGGGTGGGCATTCAGGGCTGCTGGCCTCGAGCAGCACATGCTTGTGTGGTCGGTGTGACTGGGGAGGGGCTGGGTGTGGAGAGCTGTGTCTCCAGCCCAGGTCCTGCCCTGCCCTGTGGGGGCTGGAGAGGCTCAGCTTTGGGGACTAGGTCTTTGCAAGGCAAAGCCCACCAGTAGGCACAATGTTTCCTGCAAGGCAGCTCTGAGAGCCTCAGCAGGTGAAGGGTAAGTGGCAGTTCTACAGCTCTGCAAACCCGCCTTGTTCGGCTGCATGTGTGCACCTGTGTTTATACACACAGGCTTACGGCTGTAGAGGGGGAGTGCACCCTGGGAGGGCCTGCACCACACTGCTCGTGACTTGTGCCCTCGCTCCAGCTGAAATCATAGGGGCTGAGTTTTACAGGTGTCCTTAGGCCACCTCACGGAGTGCTGCGGTATGACCCCGGTGTTCCCTCAGGGTCTTCACCTGCAGGGGCCCTGAGGACCCGTGGCCACCCATCTGCTTGCCTGGATTGGTGGTCTGTTGTCAGAAAGGACTCGTCCCTAGAAACTGGATGCCACCCCACTGGGGGACGGGGGACAACTTTCCCTTGTAGGGTGCAGCTCTGTGGCGCCATGCCCGGCCGTGCCCAGAAGGGTCTTACGATCAGCTCTGGCGGGAAGATGGGCTCCTGGGAGGGGTCCAGCGGCTGGAACTCGTCCTTGTCATACAGCTTGGTACACACCTGGATAGAACAGAACAAGACCCAGAGGCCACTCCAGAGGCCCTGCAGGCTGTCTTCCGGCTGGGGCCTGAAGGAGCCCTCCCCACCTGGACCCCGCTCCCCTGCACACTTGTGGGCTCACTTCTTCCTTTGGGCTGACAGCTGGGCTGGGAGCCCTGGGGTCCCTGGCAGGCAGTGCCTGCCTCTAGTGAGAAGCTGCCCTTGCTCCGTCCCACTCTGGCTGCCAGGGCCCCACCGGCTCCTGCTAAGGTCCTCTTGCTTCCAAGGAAGGCATCTGGGAGCCAGCCTCGTGGGGCTGCAACGCCTCAATGTGGAGCTCTTTCAGGCTTCTTGTGAGCTGAATCCAGTCATTTCTCACTGGATTCCCCCGCAGGAGCAGGAAACTTGCACACATGTGGACCTAGGCGGGTGTTTTCCGGGCCGAGCCCAGCACTCACCTTCTCCTGGGCACGTACAGAGCTGCTCTCCTCCTGCTCCTCCAGGCAGCACTTCCCAGACCCCTTCATGCGGCAGACAGTGGGCTCCTGGGGAGTGGGTTTCAGTCAAGTCAGGCCTACGGCAGACTCTTCAGGGACCCCCTGAGCCCTACAGGTGGGAAGCCGCCTCCAGCCACCTCTCTGCTTCTTCAGAGATGGGCGGAAGTCTCTGCCGGCTTCCTGGTGGTGATGGGTGTGGCCACACAGGTGGCACGATGTGCCTGGCTCAGCCTGGGAGAGGCTGCCTTGAGACTCTACATACCAGCGGAACACTCCTGCGAGTGACCGAGCTTCCTCGGGTGCTGCCGGAGTCACTCTGAGCCCTTGGGCACATCAAGCCTCAACTCACTTGCCTGAGTTCCCAGCCGTTTCTGCAGACCATGGTCAGACTCTGGCCTGTGGTCAGTTCACCTGCTAGTCCCTTAAGCACCACTGAGACCCTGATCTTGCTTTCCTGGGCCACATGGCACAGGGGGACAAGGGCCCAGGTCCAGGCACTGTGTGGGCTCAGGCCAGCTTGTCCCAGGAAGGCGGCACCCCTCCCCCCCGGCCTGATGGGTGTGTGGGATCCAGGCACGAGCGAGGTGCGTGCTGTCTGACTTGGAAGAGTGTGGTAACAGTGGCAGGGACGTGGTCCCTCTCACAGGGAGGAGGGGACGGGAGCCTGTGGCTGTGCTGTGACAGAGTGCTGCCCATGAAGAGCCAACTGCTGGGGGTGGGGAGGCTGTGGTAAGGAGGGGCACCTCCCTCCACACTGGTGCTGTGCAGGCCCCCGGTGCCGGGCTGGGTCGGGAGAGGACCTGCTTCTGCAGATCAGGAACAGCGGGATACACCCCTTGTACCTATCAGGGACAGCGCTTCACCCAGGGGGGAACCAGCCTCTCCTCGGTGAAGCTCTTGGAATCCTTCAATACTGACATGGAACATACCTTTTCAAACATTTTATGATATTCGAAATGAATGGAAACAATCTTCAATTGTTTCTGTTCAATAAAAACTATATAAAATCAAGCCAGCGCAGTGGCCCACACTTCCCGCTACCTGGGAGGCTGAGGCAGGAGGGTTGCAAGTTCAGGTCTAGTCTCAAACGAGGCAATAAAAAGGCTGAGCTGTTAGCTCAGTGCAAGGCCCAGGTCCAATCCTCAGTGCCACAAAAACAAATAAACAAACACCCTAGTATCTCTAGAAACATGTTGCAGGTCATTAATCTTCATCGTGAAAGGTGAGCAGGCCCACTGTCCTATGGAAACTCTCAGAGCCATCTTCTGACACTTGCCTCCTGAGCCCCTACCCCACTCCACACTCCACCTCCTTCTGTCCCGTGCGGCCTGGGCTTCCTGTTATGAGGAGCCATGACCCTGGCAGTCCCCTCATGGTGTCACTCTCTGTCCCCCTCATGCTGGTCTCACCATGTCTGGGTGCCCACTTGTCTACACTCTGGTCCCCGTGGCCTCCTGGCACAGCCTTCCTGTGGGCAGCAGCCAGCGTTTCCTCTGAACATGGCTCACAGCTGCACCTCGACAGAGCACAGCCAGGCCTGCGTGGAGGCCCGGTCTCTGTGTCTCTCTCCTGTGCTCAGCCTGTCTCTGCCCTGGGACTGGGCTTGGAGCTTGGGGGTCCCTGCTCAGTGCATTTCCACCCCTCCCCACTTGGTTCTCTCCGCCTGCGCCTCCTACAGCCTCCAGGGTTATCGGAGAGATTATTCAGTGTGACACGCTACGTCGCATGAAAGCTCCACACATTAAGTCCACGCAGCGCATGCTCTCTTTCCAAACTTACCGCACAGAAAGTCCCTCCGCTTTCAACAATCGGTCGGTATCCAGTGCAGCGGCACAGGTTGCCTGGCAGTGAGGAGCAGGGTTCAGGGGGTGACACTGCACGTCTGTGTTGTGCGCTCAGGGAAATGGTGGCTTTTGTAATGAGGCTCCTTTTTGTTCCCCAAGCCCAGCCACATTCGTTGTAGACAGATTTGCCCCTGGAGATGCTCTTGAGAACACAGGCCAATTGCACCTCCTTTGCTGTAGGTTCCCTGACTTCTGGCCGGATTCCCCGCCCTGTCCTAATGGCCCTGCTCGGCAGGTGGGCACCTTGTCCACATTCTGCAGGCCCCGAGGACAGGACGGCTGCTGTTGGACAGGTGTCCTCACGGGGCCACCCGTCTGAGTGGTGCAGCCTCGGGGTGGGCTGGCCTGGCAGCTGATTGCTGGATGGGCAAAGAGCTTCCCTGGCCCCTTCCAGGGTTTGTAAATAGCTTTCTCCCAAGACCTAGTGACCAGGCTGGGTCCAGGTGGGATTAGTGACCAGGTGTGTTTGTTACAGAAAACTGCATCTGCTCACAGGCCTCTTGGGGTAGGTAATCGTGTTTGTAAATTTAAATTTGGTAGCTATTCATCATAAAAGAAAGAATTGCTCACTAAGTTGCTTGTGATAAGTAATTGTTCATGACTGCCACTCTCTTTTATAGACAACAGACCTGGAGGGTCTGGAATCTTCTTCTTTACAGAAGTTAATTTTAGTAAGTAATGCTAACGAGTGAGTCTAGCAGGCTAGTTTTTTCTTAATGTATTTGGCACAGGATCTCACTACACAGCTTGGACTCATAGTGATTATCCTGTTTTTAGTCTCCCCAGAGCTGGGATAATAGGCATGTGCTGCCAAGCCCGACCTTGGTTGCTGGCTCAGTGGCCCAGAGGTGGGGTTGGCGTGGCCTGTGGCGTCGAGGATCAAACCTGGTCCCTGTGCTTGCCGAAGCAGGCACTTAGTCTGCTGAGGCTAATTAAACACCAAACAACCAAATCTTGCTCTCTAGCCCTCCCGAGGGCCACGCGATTACTCAGGGGCCTCAGCAGAGGCACCCAGGCCTCCAGGAAGGGGAGGTTTCATCTGACATCCCCATGGCTCTGATTTGGCTCTTCCCTCCGCCCTAGCCGGCCAGCCTTTGCCGGAGCAGACGGGGCGACGGTGGAGGAGGCAGGTGCGGACTCGCTCAGGCCTCTCCCCAGCGGCCACGCCCTCGGACCCGCGCGGCCGGGCTCACCTCCGAGGGCCTCGGTGACTTGCTCCAGCGTCGGCTCTGGGTGGTTGCGCAGCAGCGTGTATATGGACATCACCATGCCAGGGCTGCAGAACCCGCACTGCGTGCCGTGGCACTTGGCCAGCCTCTCCTGGGGGAGGACGACACGGGCACCGGAGACCTCTCAGCTCCCCGCTCACGTGCCGGCAAAGCGTGGCAAGGTAAGCAAAGCGACAGACTCAGCATTGCCGAAGCGAGGGCGAGCGCTGGCCGGGAGCAAGGCTGCCCGCTGCGGTGGGTGGTGCTGCGCTGCCCTCGTGGTGGCGGCAGGAGCCACCCGCGCTGCCTGAGTCCTGCTGGGCAGGAGTACGGCTGAGGACACAGCCACTCTCGGCGCGGGTGCGCCTGAACTCCTGTCCTGGTGCCTCACGGGGTCTTTAAAATCCAGGTAATGGTGTAAATAAACGAGTGCACGCCCGTCTCAGCAGCTCCCCTGGCAGGCGCCGCCTGCGCTACCTGCACCCATGACAGCTTCCGACTGCTGCGGTGTCACTGTAAGAGTCGTGAAGGTGCTGTCCTGCGGAGATGCCTGTGTGTTTAATCTGCACACACTCAGTACCGCAAGGCACAAGCCAGACTCTGAGAAGGAGCAGGAGATGGCCATGTCCTCTGTGTGCTCCCCAAAGACCCCGATGTTGAGGAGAGGCAGAGGGGAGACAGGGCTATGTGGACCTGTCCCTGCTTCCCATGCACCGGAAGGGCTCTGAGGTGCACATTCTCAGGTACACGTTTCCCACAGAGAGCACACTGGTCAGGCGACAGCCGTGAACCATCCACACGGCTGACACTGACAGAAGATCCACAAAGTGCTGTTCATGGCTCCAGGGTAAATCCTGAGGGGATTTGACTGACTTTGTCAGATACAAAAGTTACATTTTTACTTATATAGGTCTTGCTTTAGCTTTGTCTTAACCATCCAGCAGAAAAGCGTAGCCACAAAGTGTAAAAAGTAAAGCTATATTGGTATGCTGAGCTGTAAAAGGCTCAAGTCAACAGCTTCGGACAATTGTCAGTTGTGCTGGCCACTCACTATGATGGACTACTGGACTATGTTAGGCTGTTCTGCTGACTTCATGTACCTACAATGTGTGACGGGTGTCAAGTATGAAAAGGTCCTGTAGAGGCTTCTCCACATACAGCTTCTCTAACTGCAATGGAACACCCAGCTCTGACAAAACGAAACCAAAAAGGGGGATATAAATAAAGGACTGTTTTCTAGTAAAAAAAAGTTATGTGTATATAAATTAGGGTAGATATACAGCTACTTTCTCTTAGTTCATTGAGATGAAAGGTTTGTACTAATCTTGTTTAGACAAGATATCATGTCTACGTCTTGTCCTCTGAATAACTGTAATGAAGACAACAATATGCAATGCATTAATTATTGTAACTGTCCTACTAACCTGTTTTGAAACTGTCTCATTGCTATTTTATCTTTTTTCTCATTAAAATGAATAAAAATTTTTGTAAAAGTACACGTTTCCACACAGCCTGGCTCCCAGCATGGGAGCAAAGACCACTCATGGCTCAAGGGGCATGGCGGCCGCTGCGGCCCTGGAGAATGTGGCTGGCGGGCTGGTGGCTTCAGATTGGCAGGTGGACGTGGCTGGGCGGGTGCCTGCCCAGCGCTCTGCGGGAAAGCCCTGATCTAGGTCTTACCTGGCGCTTCTCCAGTGCGTGTGCGTCTACCACGATTCGGCTGCCTACATTCAGGTCCTGAGAGGCTGCCCACTTTCACTCATTCGTTGTTGTGTCTTTGCTGATCAGATTGGGGCTGGCACCTTCTAGGCAGGCGCCACCCCTGAACTACACCCGGCTTCCTCCTCATCAGTGCTGTCTTCAGAGACTTGAGAAATTCCTGCAGACTCAACTACTAGCTCTCACAGACCCAGACAGGTGGCTCCGGGATGCTTTTGAGAGAAGCCTCTGTCATCACCAGCAAGGGTGCAAGTCAACGTGCACAGAGCCATGCGGTGGCTGAAGACAAGCCCTGTCAGCAGGCGTCTGTCGAGGGCAGGGAGGCCGGGCAGGGGCTGTCGGCACTCTCCTGCTCAGCTCTCCCGCCTTCTGGTGCTGTGGAAGCACCTTGTTACTGTCGTGGTCTGTGGCACCATGCAGGCATCCCATCAGACCTCTGAGAACACTTGCAGAGTTCTCCTGCACAACTGGCTGCTCTTCAGGGCTCGGCAGTTCTGAGGTACGGGATGAGCTAACACCGCCTGTAAACGCCCCTTTCCCATCTCTTTGCTTCTCTTGTCTGCCTGGACTTTTCTCTTAGGGCTGGACTGGGCTGGGAAGGTCTCTGCCTCTGACACACTAAGGTCAATGAAAGATCCTTGGAAAGCTCTCTGCAAAGGTCCTTAGCTGGGAGGCATGGAAGAATTTAAAAGCGCAAGGCAAGACCATGAAAGCTGGTGCCTGCTGGGGTAGCTCCGCCCCCTGCGTCTTACCTGCACAGGGTGCACCCTGGTCCTGATGCTGCCCACGCCTTCCACCGTGGTGACAGCTGCCCCATGCAGCGAGCAGAGCGGCACCAGGCACGCGGTCGCCGGGTAGTGGCTGCAGGGACCTGTGTCAAGGGACCACACTGGAACCCCGGAGCAGCGGGTGACTCAGGTAACAGTGTCAGCCCCAGAGTTGTGAGTCCCCAAGTTTTGCAGACTGGGAAACCCTGAACAACACACTGAGCCCAAGGAGGACTTCCATGTGGCTGCCACCGAGTGGTGGGAGAGGGCGGGGAGGGAAAGAGTCCTGAAGCCTCCTGTGTGGGACTCTAGGAGGCACTCATTCTCCCTTGAATTGTATTTTCCCTCAGCCCAAGGGAAGGAAGTGGCCGGTGATGCGCTGCTCACCCCTGGGAGCTTTAGAGGCGAATGCACCTGTATCCTCACCTCAGTGAGCGGAGCCTCCTGGCGGGGGCCACCCAGCCCTGAGGCAGCAGGTGCTGGGAGGAGCAGCTGCCCTGTGTGTGGGTCATACCCCACCAGCTCTGCTCCCCTCTCTCCAGTGGCCTGCCCTGCTCGCCGCTGTCCTGGTCCTTACCCCATGCCTCTTCTTAGAGCAGAGGCCCAGATGGCTTGCCTGGATGGCATTCGGCCTCCCCAGCAGCCCCCTCCTCCCCACTGCACCCCCATATCGCTGTGGGGGCAGGCTGCCCCCTTAGGAGCCTCCCGGCTACCTTCCTTCCTACGGTCGGGTCGTCGCCCTCCATTCTTCTGCACTTAGAAATAGTCAAGTGTTTGCTCTGATCACAACAAAGCACAGTAGGACTCCACATCTCTCCCTGGTGCTTGCCCTCTTCCTTTCTCCCTTAGTCAAGTTTTGCCCGAAGCTTCCTTGCCCTCCAGCCTCTTGGGCCCCTGCCCTGATGGCTGGGAGCACCCCAGGGCCCCAGCCTCCAGTTCTTCCTTAGCTCAAGGCTCCCTGGCTCCTGCTCTCCTGCTGCTTTTTGGGTGGCTTGGGCAGAAACCAGCCTTCGAGGCCAGCTCATTGTTTAAATCTATGTACCCCAATGTCCTCTCTTTAAATTGGCCCGATAGTAATGCCTGTCTGAAGCCGCTTGGCAATGTGCACGTGACAATATATGTAAGCTACTGTCAACAGCCTGGTAGGCAGTAAGTGCCAACAACTGCTGGTTGTTTCAAGAGCCTTGTCATAAGACACTAATGAGTTATGGCTCTGGAAGAGGCTCCTTGTGTGACAGTGTCTCTCGGGGTGCCTGGTGGGTATCTAGGTGTTCCCCAAAGGCTATGGGTCCTCTGCTCAGCACCGGCACCTCCTGTGCTCCTCCTCATCCACTTTCCTCAGTGGAGGCCTGCATCCCTCTGTCACATGCGTACAACCTTGGGCTGTGCTGGACACTCCCCGCCTGTGTGCGTGGCTAGGGGTGGGTTGACCCCCGCCGGGAGGCTCCAACTCACTGAGGCGAGGATACAAGAACTTCCATGGGTGAGCAGGGCATCATCTGCCCACTTCCACTTCCATCCCTCAGGCTGAGGGAAAACAATACATGATGAGCATGGATTTGCACTCTGAGATGAGGCTGGCCCTGCTGCACAGCTGCTGGGCAGGGCTCAGTGGTCAGATGCCGGTGAAGCTCACCTGGGTCTGTGAGGGCCCCCCCCCCCGGCTGCTGAGGCTCCCGCTGTGAGGCATAGGAGCACAGAGCTGGGGCCCAGGCGGGGCATCTTCTGCAGGGAGGACATCGGGGCTGGCAGTGCACAGGTGTGACTGCTGGGGGAGGAGGGCAGGAGTGCCACCCCACTGTGCATGGACAGGCCACACAAAGGATACCGGATCTTCTGGCTCGTGGCATTGTACCTGGACACCATGACAGTGCAGGCTCCGCAGCCGCCCTCTCCGCAGGCGAATTTCGTGCCTGTGAGATGGACTAGAGGGAGAGTCAAGGAAAGGCCCAGGCGCCAGAGCAGGTGCACGGCTCCTGACCTGCCTACGTCGGCGTCACTTCTTGCTTAGAGATTGTTCAGTCCTTTGCTTGTGAGTGCAGGACTGAAAAGAATCGGATACACAGGCCTAGGTAGCACGTGGCTTCTCTCGTGAGTAAGGGATTTCATGTGAGTAAATTAAAGAGCAAAAGAAGAGACGGGTGCCAGGAGACAGGGATCTAGAGCTTTTGCAAATGGGAGAGAGCAAGGAATGGGCAGGGGGAGGGGAAGCAGCAGGAAGGAAGCCTACCGCAGGGCGTGCCAGCCCATGGGAGAGGGCAGATGAGAGCTTCTCAGACGCCACCTTGGCTCACTGAGAGCCGCAGGTCTGGATGCAATTCTGACGAGAACATTTTCCACACTTCAAAGCACTCATAAAGTGCTATTCCTGGGGTGCAGGGCAGCGCCTTGAAGTCAACCCCTTGGCACCCCTTGGAGCTGCCTGGAGATTTGCCCATGCAGGAAAGTGCAGGCTGTGGCACCTCACATCTCCTGGGCCAGGTGTGCACCTCATGGACCACGGGTCTGAACCCCAAGGGCGCTCCCATGGGGGCAGTGGAAGACCTAGTAAATCCCCGGTGAGGCTGGATTTTTCTCTGGTGCGGTGGCACCAGGCTGTCACAGTCCCTGGGATTGGCAAATGTGAATCAGGTATGCGCCTCCAGAGCCAGCAAAGCCTGGGATCACCATGTCTCTTTGCATAAGACATTCATGTATCTTCACAAAGGGAGGACAGATACCTACAAAGCTACCTTTAGGTTCTCCTGGAACCACATCCAAGGTTGACTGAAATGTACTTGGCAGGGTTTATGGAAGCTTAGGTGGATTGCACTGGCTGGGCTCATGCACGGCTTGGGTGAAGGCACAGGCTGAGGCCAGTTCTCGTCTTAAAGCTTAGTGCCAAAAAGAGGTGAGGCGGGGTCAGGGTGCTCCTCCTGGTTGTTGCCCTGAGTAGCTGCATTCCTGTGGAGCCCAGAAGAGGCTCTGCACACTTTAGTCCCCAATCTAAGCAGGTTGGGCCACAGCAGGGGCCCTGCCACCCATTGGCCCGGGCCCCCCCACCTACTGGCCAGGACCCCCCACCTGAATGGCCTGGGATGCCCCTCTAGTGCTCTGTCAACTTGGGTATAGGAGGCAGCAAAGCCTAGCTATCTCTGCTTTTGGTATCCTAGCATTTGCAACTGAAGAGGCCAAGTTTCCTCCGGCTGGGAGGTGTCTCTTCACATTGTCAGAGCTGAGGACAGTGCCGTGATGTGCATTTAGGGTGCCCCGGGTGAGAAGTGAAAACCACTGGCTCTGCTGACCGCTGACAGCTCCCCCCGGCTCGGCCCTCCCCTCTTGTGCAGTGTTAGCTCATACAAAGCTCGTTTTAAAAGGGAGTTGTCACATAGAAACTGGGACCCTCACTTACATTTGAACTCCACATAAATAATGGAAGCTATTTTAAATTCATTCAAGTTCAAACTTAATTGGTTGGACTTCATTTTTACAAATGTGAAATACAGCAACCTTTACACTGGTCAAATATGAGCAGTACATGATAAGCTTAGCTTTTGGTTCCTTACGTAGCTGAGCTTTCTCAGGGTCCTAAGGAATGCCCAGAAGCTCCCCTGAATGTGGAGCTGGCGTGGGGTGGACGTGGGTTCAGAGCCCTAGAGGTTTCTCCAAAGGGAGTTCTCCCGGGGGCTGGATGGCTCTGCTGGTTGTGTTCAGCTGAAAAAAGTACAACCTGGCACGGGTGAGAGGCTGTACTCTCTGGCTTTGCCTGGACCCTACAGGTGGCCGCCATGTCATTCCTAGCACGTTCACATTCTGCCACCCAATTCTGAGTGATCACAGTAAAACAAAGGATACGGGCTCCTCGCAAGTAGGAGAGCAGGGTTACCTCGGGGTCAGGCCTCTTCTCCACCACCTGCAGGAGGGAGGGCAGGGGTCAGTGTGGAGACGCCACCACCAGCAGTGTCAGTGCCATTCTGAGGCAGGTTCCGGACAGGGCTGGCTTTATGAACAGAAAACTCATGGAAGATTCCCCTAACACCTGGAGCCAGAACTTCATAGAAATCAGGAAACGTTGCCTTGCTGTCTCTGGATTTCCCATCTCTGTGGTCATTATTCACCTGGTGACTCACATTACAGATTTCCACAGGCGGGCAGCGTCCCTGAAGCCCAGGGTTTGCGGCCTCTCCTTTGCTGCTAATTCACTCTGCCCCAGAATCAGAGGCCTGGAGGGAGGCGAAGCAGGCATCTCGAGGTGCTGGTGCACACGCCGGTGCCCAGGATGCCGGCCGGCCTGGGCACTCATGGCTGGGCCAGGTTTCCTTGCTCTTTCCCTCTCGCTCTGGTGGTTAGTTTGTGTTTGCACCGTTCCTGCGTCCCAGAGCAGAGAGCCGGGGCTCAGCCCCTGGGGAAGCGGTCTCCTCCCCAGGGAAGGACAGTGGCATCAGTGTAACTGAGGCACGAGAGGCAAAGCCTGCAGCAAATCACTTCCTAGCATCGTCTTCTGTGCTGTTATTTCGCTGGTTTGGCTGGTTGCCCTGAGCGGCCAACCCTGCGCTCCCTCTGGGAGGTGCTCACGCCACTCTCGGGTAGGCTCACTCCCACAGCACGGGGCTGGGGCTGCGGCCAGGGCCACAGCCGCCTCTCCTCTGCAGGGAATGGAGTCACCCACTGCTGGCCACAGGCGGGAGGGTATGGGGGCAAAGTAAAGTCAGCCAAGGGTCCTTTGGCACCCTGGTCCTCCTTGTCACCAATATGGCCTGATGCAAAGCTCTGGTGACCTGACCTCACCTCCCCGTGCAGGCAAGATGGCAGGTATACTCTGGGCCCTGAATCCTAGCGTCAGAACTGAGTGGGAGAGCCCAGTGCACTTGGACATGGGTGAGCAGGTGAGGAGGGGCTCGCTGCACAGCCAGTGCCCCAGAAGGCATCTCCTGACCTGTGCTGGACGTGTGGGGGAGGAGTTTGCAAACCTCGAACAAGAACTGTCATAACTCAAGCTAAGCCACACTTGGCATTGAGGGAGCTGGATGGTGGGCATTCTGATAAGCCACGGGAGAGACCCAGCACTGGGACAGTTCCCAGCTTTCAGAAAGCCCAGTTCTGCAGCGCTGGGAGGCTGAAAGCAGGAGGATCACTTCCAGTTGGAGCTGCATAGTGAGACCTTACCAAATGCACAAAAAAGAAAAAAGAAAATCCGGTTCTGCATCCAGCATGCTAAAATCTACAACAAAATCATTACCAATGCAAAACCAGAAAACAAACCAGATGAAATGAAAAATCTCCTATTGATTCTGAAGAAAAATAAGCAAGCAGAGATCTCCATGCTTAGATAATTTGGCACTAAAACTTGAACTGAAGATTCATGCTCAAGTTCACACTGTTCCATATGACTTGAGAGACAGGCTTAAAGCATAAGAAATGGCATTACAGTGAAGGAAAGGTTCACTTTTATGGAAATTTATGTTGCTGGGGAAGATAGCTCAATGGCTTGAGTACTTGCTTGGCAAGTGCAAGGTCCTGAGTCCAATCCCTCATACAGAAAAGAAAAGAAAATTCATGTTAATGAATATATGACAATTCACCTGAATTTCTTCAGAAACTTACCTTTCTCCCATTCACAAAAAAAATCAGCTCGTCTGAACTGGAGAGGGAAGTCATCCTGGCAGACATAGCCCGCACCAGAGCCACCGTATCGTCTCAGCAGATCTGTGAGAGTCATGGGTTGCCAGAGCAGCCCACACAAGATTTAAAGGCTCCAAGCCGAGCCCCGCCCCGGTCCGCCACACCTGACAGGGCTGCGCCTTGCTTTCCTGGGGTGAGCCAGCCAGCTCTCCCTGTGCCCCTTCAGGTCTGAGAGCAGGAGGAGAAGCAGGCTGTCGTGGCGCAGAGATCAGCCCGTGCTGTGCCGTCATCCCCATGGCCGGACTTCCTGAGGTCTCTGTGGTCAGGGCACAGGGAGGTGACACCTCACCCCTCTGGCAAGGCCTTGTGACAAGGTCTCAGAACTGGAGTGACAGCTCCAGGACAGTTTCATGGCTCTTTGCATGCATTCTTTTCTTTTCTTTTCTCTTTCTTTCTTTCTTTCTTTCTTTCTTTCTTTCTTTCTTTCTTTCTTTCTTTCTTCCTTCCTTCCTTCCTTCCTTCCTTCCTTCCTTCCTTTCTTTTTTTCTAGCTTTCTTTTTTGTGGTAAAGGGATTGAACTCAGGACCCTGAGCTTGCCAGGTAAGTGCTTATTCTACTGAGCTATCTCCCCAGCCCTCAACATTATTATAAGTGCTTGCCTGGCAAGTGCAAGGTCCTAAGTTCGATCCCTGGTGCCACCAAAAAAAATTGTGGATAGACACATAGCATACATCTTTGCATCATATAAAGACAAAGGTAGGAAAATACTTGGAAAATGGGAAAAGAGTGGAATGGACAAACAAGACACCAATCTTTCTCTAAAAGTCAATAACACAAATATCCGATTCAGAAAAAAGTGAGACAATTGAAATAAAATTAGGGTGAGAACAGGATGTGGAAAACGGCGAGGTGTGTCCCAGAGGACCGCAGGGGCAGGGTGCCCACCGCGCTGCGCAGGTCGCCTCCAGGCCTCACCATCCTCTGGCTCCCCAGCAAGCTCCCGGCTGTGGCCTTCCGTCCCATACTGTCCTCTCTGGTGGGGTCTCTGGGGCCCTTCAGCCTTAACAGCTGTTTCACCCCCAAACCCAGAGACCCCAGGGCCTGCAGCTCTTCTTGCAGGCCCAGAATGTCACTCTGTGCGGCTGCTGCCCAAGCCCTCGTGCACTCTGTTCCTGTCTCCGGGGCCTGCGCCACGCGAACGGTCCTCTGAAGTCACACAGCGAGCTGCGGCCCGGGCACAGCCACCGCCCCTGTGCTCCAGGGGAAGGCGGAGCTGGCGTGTCCTCAGAGCAGGTCACAGGCGACCCTGCACAGTGTGACGAGCACAGGCTTCCTACCCCTCCCCTCCCGCGTGGGATTTCACAGCTGCAGAGGGTGGCGCCCCACAGGAGGAGGAGGGAGGGCCCGAAGGCACTTTCCGGGGCAGTGGGCTCAGGCGCCACACGCAGCCGTGGCCCCACGCGTGTGCAGAGAAGCAGGCCGCCCCGCATTTGAATATCTGCCTCAGAGCTCTGCAGGCTGGATGCCTGTGTGTGGATGCGTGTGTGCGCGCGTGTGTACGTGCGTGCGTGTGCGTGCGTGTGTGCGTGTGTCCACTACTGAAAATGATGAGGCTTCATGCTTTCTGACCTTCATCCAAAGGCACGCGGGCGGTAGCTGTTTGGCTGGCTTCAGGCTCCTGCAGGGTAATCAAATACAACCGTCTTCATTTTGAGCAGATTCAGGGGAAAAATTTAATGGACAGAGTAGGCTGGAAGTTGTGAGGACGCCTCGGGCCGAATGTTCCCACCCTCGCGTGCAGTTTCAGCTCTCCTGTGGGGAGGCGGCGGCCTCACCCTGAGCAGTGGGGGCCTCAGCTAGCAGAGCCGGCGCAGCGCCTCCCGCCACATGGGCGAGCGCTTCCTTCCAGGAGCAGATTCCCCTTGCCGCGCACACCCGAGTGTTTCACACGAGTGGAGATAACAGCCAAATAAGGATTTTTTAGGCACAACATTTTACACAGCAGACTTTACGAAATTCAAGCAAGGAAGTTTGCTCATTTTTCCTCAAAATAGGAACATTGTAGCCTAGGCATTAACTATAAAATCAGCACACAAGATTTACACACAAATTGCAAACATACTGTTAGTTACGTTGAATCAAATACCGTGCTTCTGTCCATGTTCCAGGCACATCAGTGCTTGTGTGTATAATTGGCTATTACAAGACAGTTTGTAAATACGATAGATGAAAATTCAAGAACTGCCCTTGATTTTCTAAATATTTCAGATAAATCTATAAGAAAACCAACTTTTGTTCTTTTTTTTTTTTTTTTTTACAGGTTAATGTATTTCAATAGCAAACTCACAGGAACAGCACAGAAAGACAGACAACATTAAAAACTTGTACTAGCATGTAAGACAGCTCAGTTAGAAAAGCAGAGTGACTGGATGGAATCCACTGCTTGATAAATATGCTGCAAACACCATTTAGTTGCTGTCAATAAGAAATTTACTTGTTTTAAAAAAATCCAAATGCTGGCATTTTCCCAAAAAATTTAACTGATTTTTATTTATAATTGCTATAAAGTTGAAGTGCTGAAACTTGTTCACTGAAACATTTTTGACTTGCATTAATGCTTTACATCCCAGATGAAGATAAAAATTCACACACAAATGAAGATGGAAAAACTGCCAATACCTGATTTCTGTCCCCTATTTTCCACTCACAATCATGTACTTAGGTACCTTTTGACCCCCCGGAAAAAAAAACCAAAAAACAAAAAACCTAACATTGAAAACTACCAACAACAGGAAGAAGAGGAAAAAAAATTGAGAATGAAATGTTTCCCACCATAGTGGACTCTTAAGCACGTTCTCCACGTATGTGGCGTGCTAGTTGGATATCTTAAGCACGTTCTCCACGTATGCGGCGTGCTAGTTGGATATCTTAAGCACGTTCTCCACGTATGTGGCGTGCTAGTTGGATATCTTTTGGCATAACACGTTTGGCGTGGATGGCACACAAGTTGGTATCGTCAGACAGGCCAGCCAGAAGGGCCTCACTTGCCTCCTGCAAAACGCCGATAGCTGTGCTCTGGAAGCGCAGATCTGTTTTGAAGTCCTGAGCAATTTCTCTAACTAGATGCTGGAATCAGAAGTTCAGTGGACTTCTGATAGTCTAATTTCATGGAGAGCCACAGTCCTGGGCCTGTAGCGATGAGGTTTCTTCACCCCTCCAATAGAGGGCACACTCTTCTGAGCGGCTTTTGTAGCCAGTTGTTTCCTGGGCGCTTTACCACCAGTGGATTTATGGGCAGTCTGCTTGGTACGAGCCATGGTACTGGGACCTCCTTACACCTTTCTCCTTTGGCTGGAGCTCGGCGAGTGAGAGGCAGTGCTGGCGTTAGACAGCGACGGCAGCTCAGCAGTGGCTGCGAACACCCAACTTTTGTTCTTGAACCCCAAATATTAGAGAGCCAGGATGGATCAAGGATCAAAGCATTCAGAATCAGTTTGTAGGATCTAAAAGAAAAACTCAGAAAAGGGATTAAAAATACAGTTAAAAAAAACCCAAACTATTCACACAGCAGCAAAATAGTTTCTTATTTAAGAGACATTTAATCTATCCCTCAAAAATTATTTGACTTGTATGTTTGTTTTCTCATTTCTAGAAGAGATTCCTTGGGTTTTGGAAATACATTGCTTTTTTTTCCCCCATAATTTTATTGATAAACAAATAGCAATGAGACAGTTTCAAACCAAACTGGTAGGACAGTTTCAATAATAACACATTGCATACATTCTTCCTAGTGGTTAATTGCTGTACAAGATGCAGACATGATATCCTATTTACAAACACTATTAGAACAAATGACTCTATT